AACTTTTTAAGGAGAATCATTTTGCAGTTTTAATTTCCATTTTCGTAAACAGCATTCCAAACTCTATCGATTTATCTGTGTCTGAATTCAACGTTCCAAGATAAGTAGACTACCCCTCCCTGGTAAGATCTGAGCGCATGAGCGGTCCAACCCACACGCAGAGAGGGATCTTCCCGAAGGTTTGGCAGGGCTGCTGCCAGGATGTGGCTCCCCCTGCATGTTCCAACTGGAACGACTAGCGTTGGGGGCGCCAAAAATTGACCCCTCCTGCCATTTTTGACTTGCTTATTCCCATCGGCGCTAATCCTTATTTTTATCAGAGATATGACCCTCTTAAAAAATCATCGTAGGAGTGTACGTATGGGATAATGATTGCGCACAAATTAAGCAGAAGGAATTAGAAAAACAAAAAGCAAAAAAAACGCGCGAGGCTATAGCAAATATCAAGGTGTGCATCTGCATAGTGTGCATGATCAGTAAACATTTTGCATATTAAAGAAGTACTATTAATGGATGAACAAATATTATTATATTTTACTAACAAAAGATTGTTGGAGGTAAATAGTTATAATTACTTATTTTCAAGACACTCATCAATGACTAGAACAAGTATAAGGAATATACGAGGAATATAAAGGCACTAGGCAAAAAATGTACATATAATAATTTAGTTATTTATTTTGATCCAAATAGAAGGATAAGAAGCGTCACCGACGCTATGTTGGACCACCGATCCTCAAAGCACCACCGGTGCAAGAGGAATAGCTTCTTGAAAAAAAACAAATGTAATCCGTAGACGGAACTGGTTCCTCGTTGAACACGGATTTCCCTCGTGGTCCAACGATTACCAGTCAAGATCCAATAAGTAAAGTATAACAAATTGGAATTAGTGGAGCTTGTTAAATAGTGTGAAAAAACGTAATAATGTGACAATAAGTGAAATGAAGTAAAAGATGGCTCGTTTTGCCTCTTCACCAGTCGAGCCACCATTTTCACGTTCCCCTGAGGCTCGTCAGTGGTCTGGGGTCAGTGGACAAAGGAATGTAAGAAATGCATTGTTCAATACAATTAAATAAAGTACACATAGAAAAATAAGTTATACTACTGACGATATGGGAAATTTTCATAATTCCTCTAACCAGTTTGGTGACATTCTTGAGAGTATCCTTGATAGAATACTTGTAACAAATAAGTTTATTTCTATGTATACATCTAACTATACTAGTAACTATAAACTCTTCATTATACCCATTTCTCGAGAGAATGTCCATCATTTCCTACCACTTTTTGTTGAACGTTTCAATCCTAGAACACGTGTTGGCAATTCTAAATGATTCTGTATGTAACACTGGTGCTTTTTGTAATATAAATACTAGTATGACTATGAGGAAATCTGATAACGTTAGAGCTAAAATCATCAGTTTTTTTTAATATAGTTTGGTACTTACTCTACCATTGATTATACAGGGTGTCCCAAAATTATTGACGCCAAAATTCAGAAATTTCCACGATACAAATCATTTGTCAAATTCATATTACCTGTTTTTAATTAGTTGCATAAGGAGGATTCCTTGCAATATGCGTGGTCACTAATGTGGAACTTCCAATATCTTTCAGATGGAGAAGGCTCATTCAATGCCACTTGTCATCATTTACACGCGAAAGGTAGAAGGGCATAATGAAATTACTTGGGGTTTTTATAATAACCGTATAGGAGGCTATTAAATGATATAGAAAAGAAGACTAAATCAGAGCAAACCAGTAAAGG